CCCACGCCCCGTGCTGCATGCCCCGTACAGATTACAGTTCTGCTGAGTCTGGGGTCTTGGTGTCTTCTTGCCTTCTCCGGCAAGCAGCCCAGGCCAGCAGGAGTGCAACCAAGGTCATGGCCTTCAGCCCCAGGACCACAAGTGTGAGCACAGACAGGAGGCCTGGAGGACACAGAGGAGAGCTCAGGAAGGACCCTGGGCGATCCCCCAACAGTCCAGACCTCAGTGTCCCCACGGGGAGGCCTGGCCCAGCTGCTGTAAACCTCTGGGGCCACATTCTTTCTACACAAAGACCTCCCCTCCCTCTGTCCGGGGCCCAAAGAGGCTTTGCCCAATATCCTACCCATGTGTTTAGTCATCCTCACAGCATCCCTGACCTCCGATCATAATAGAAAACTGTTCATTTATGGGCTGCTCAGCTCCTCTGCCCCAGACCTTGGGCTAAGCACTTCCTAACTGCCTAATTTAATCCTTAAACGTATGACGCAAGGCAGGATAATAATGCCATTGGTACCGATGAAAAGGCAGAGCCAGAGTCGGGAAATGATTTGCTCAGGGGCACATATGTTAGAGAAGTGACGGGACCAGGTGGTCTGGCTCCCGCGAATGGCAGGAACAGGGCTCAGTGACAGGGAGCATCTGGTGCCACTACCCCAAGTCTCACCCTCAACCCCACCCTGTTGCCAAGTGCCCCTGAGTGTTAACAGGTGATATGATATGCACAGTTCTGGGCGCTTGGCACGTGTGATCTCATGGGGTCTACGCACCAGCCTCATGGGGTACGCTCTCCAACTCTTATCCCCTCTCCGCCCCTAGTCCCCAGGGGAGGATAACAGAAATTCGGGGAGTGAGGCAAGCTTCCTGCAGTCACACAGGTAGAAAGGGACTCAATCCAGGAGGCTACAAAGCCATGATCTTCAGCACTGTTATGTACAGTTTCACAGTGTCTCCTTGCACTGAATCATGGGGAGCTCACTACCTGCCAAGCAAGGCTGCCCACTGAACAGTCAGCTGTTCTTTCTTTGGTCGAGCTTTTCTTTTTTTTTTTTTAATTTTTTTTAACATTTATTTATCATTGAGAGACAGAGCACGAGCAGGGGAGGGGCAGAGAGAGGAGGAGACACCGAATCCGAAGCAGGCTCCGGGCCCTGAGCTGTCAGCACAGCGCCCGACGGGGGGCTCGAACTCACAAACCGTGAGATCATGACCTGAGCCGAAGTCAGACGCTCAACCGACTGAGCCAACCCAGGCGCCCCTCTTTGGTTGAGCTTTAACGTGGTTCTCTGAGTTCCTGGTTCTGATGTTGAGATGAAGTCCTGGGGACTTTCTGGGTGGCGCATAGCCCTAGAAGGCAAGGACTGGTCCCTTCCCATGGCCAAGCCTTGCCTGTGGGGACTGGTTACCTTCCCAAGACTAGGTACACTCACCTGAGGGATATGTCCTGCCTATATGTTCATTGGTGAGTTCTTTCTCTTGGGGAGAGGTGATGGGCTTTGCTGTAAGAAAGAGAGACAGTCTCACATTCCCCTTTTCTTTCTGTCTTGCCCCTTCCTGAGCCCCTGTGCTAGGACTTAGGGTCATCGAGAGGAGTGTGCCTGGAATGGGGGCTAGAAGTCAAACCCTGTGACTATGAGGGACTAGTTAGACCTGTCTGAACATCCCTGGGGTGGGGACAATGTCTGATTCACTGCAGTATCTACAGCACCCAGCAGAGTGCAGAGCAGTAAACGGGCACTCAACAGATACTGTTAAACCATTAATGGTCTATCCAAAGTTTTGAGGAGCCCAGAATGGGGGAGAAATGAACTCTGCCCGGGAGAAGCAGAAGGTTTCACAGAGGAGGGGCTATTTCTGCTGGGCCTTGAAGGATGGGTAGGAGTTCGCCAGAGAGAAGGAGAAAGCATTCCAGGCAGAGGGAACGGCTTATGTAACAGCTGGAGGCTGAGAAGAGCCGGCCTATTTGGGAATTTCCTTGTGGACCCCCTGCCCCTCTCCCCCAGTGCCTTCTAGACCACCTGTCTCACCTTTTACTCGAAGCCTGGTGCCCTGTCCGGACAGGTATTGTCTGTTGGGTTTCCTGTAAAACTTTACACAGTAGTAGGTGCCTGTGTACTCAGGGGACACGCCTTGCAGGAGGATGCTGAAATCGCTGTTGGAGGCCCGGACGGCTGTCACGTTGGGGTGGGAGAGGCCTTCAAAGTTGTAAATGGCCTCGCGGCTCAGACCAGCCCCCCGAAACCACCTGATGGGTCCCGGGGGACCATGTCCAAGCACTGTGCAGTTCAGGAACACAGTGTCTCCGGTGGTTGCCAACACCACCTCCTGGGGCTGCAGGATCCAGAGGTTTGGCTCTGGGGCTCCAGCTCCTGAAGCCAAAGAGAGGGTCCTTGTTGCATTTTGTGTCTTCCTCCATTGTCCACTCATTTCCTCCCTCATATCTTCCCTCCCTCCCCGCTGCCCTGATTTCCCTACTCAGCTACTCCCTCTGGATCCCCACGTTACGCTCAAGTCGGTTCACTCAGTAAAAAAGTTCTCAGGACCTGCTATGTGCTGAGGTTACAACTGGGGGAAATGGAGCTCAGCAAGACATACAAATGTCCGGCTGGGAAGAAGTTTTCAGTCTGGTGGTGGAGATGGTGCAGAAAATCCCCTTGAGGTTGGAAAGCCAGAGGACTGTAGGGCCAAAAGGGCACCTGTCACGGGGTGGGAGGAATCGGAGAAACCTTCCCGAAATGCTTGCATCAATTTAAAATGAACCCTTCCCCCCACCTCCAACTGCCACACACAGATATTCTGTCTGTTAACAGTTTGCAGGGTGGGGCGTCTGGGTGGCTCAGTAGGTTAAGCGTCCGACTTCAGCCCAGGTCATGGTCCCGCGGTTTGTGAGTTCAAGACCCACGTCGGGGGCTGCGCTGACAGCTCAGAGCCTGGAGCCTGCTTAGGATTCTGTCTCTCTCTCTCTCTCTCTCTCTCTCTGCCCCATCCCTGCTCGTTTTCTCTTTCTCTCTCTCGAAAATAAATAAGACATTAAAAAAAAAAAAAAAAAAAAAAAAAAAAAAACACGCTCCTATTGAATGACAGACCCAGGATGTGAGTGCCCAGGTCACCACTGCTGGGCTTACAGATAGCATGACTGATTACGTGGGGAGCGTGGTAGATTAAATTATCAGCCCTAGTTCTGGACTCCCCTAGGGTGGTGCATCCCTACTCTTGCCTCGTGGTGGGTGGGTACGCATCCTGGTCTCTTGACTTGGCGTGGAGCCGCATGACTTGCTTTAGCCAATGGGCTGTTAGCAGATGGTACGTGATTAGAAACTTGAAACGCGCTTGGGGGCACTGGGGCTTGTCCTCTTTGCTTCTGCCATCTCCACGACCCAGGTGTACTCTTCGCAGCTGCAAGAAGACGCGGCCCTGGAACAAGACACGTGGAGCAGAACCACTCCAGATGCCTGTGCACGTGTGAGTGAGACACCCTCGCGTTGTGCGCCAACTGGGATTTTGTGTCGACGGTATGGGTGTGGATGGATGAAGGCAGCTGACGCAGGGAGACCGGTCCGAGCTGAGCGCCTAAGACCCACCGAGCCTGATACTCACCCTTCACAAACACTGAGGTGCCCTCCTGCAGCTTCTTTTCTGGGTTCTCACTCAAGTCATCAAGCCCCACACAGTGGTAGGTTCCAGCATGCTTGCTGGTGACATTGTGGATATAGATGGAAAAGTCACAATGAAGGGGCTCCAGGGTCCGCTGGGTCACCGGCGTCACCCCCGGGAAGAAGCCGTGTTTGAAGTTATAAATCTCCTGCTGGTCCCGATCGCTCACCTTGACCCATTTAATCCCGTCGTCAGTGCAGGAACCTTCCACGGTGCACCGCAGCAGCAGCGTGTTTCCTTCCGCCACCAGCAGGGGGCCCTCGGTCTGCAACACCTGCCGCTCACTCCCATCGCTCTGCCCAGAGGCTCCTGCAACAGAGAAGACTGGCTTTGTGCTGAGCCGGAAGGACCTGGAGCCCTCAGAGGTGAGCTTACTACAACCTAGTCATTAGCTGGCCAGCAACAATTGCTCAGGACGCCGGACGGATGTTGTTGGGGAGGGAAGCGTGAGAGATGAGGCGGTTGTCTGGAGAGGCAGAGCAGAACTTACAAATAATGGAGAACTTGCAAATAATAGGTGACAGCATTCTTCCTGTCTTCACAGAAGTGCTGAGAGCCCAGATGACCAGGTAAGTTTCCCCGGATCACAGTTTATGGGCTGACTGGTGTCTTCCCGGCTAAATTCATGTGTCAGAGTCCTAACCCCCAGTACCTCTGAATGTGGCTGCATCCTGAGACAAGGTCTCTAAAGAGGCAATTAAGTTACCATGAGGGGCGCCTGGGTGGCCCAGGCTCAGTTGGTTGGGCATCAGACTTCTGCTCAGGTCACGACCTCGCAGCTTGTGAGTTCGAGGCCCGCGTCGGGCTCTGTGCTGACAGCTCAGAGCCTGGAGCCTGCTTCGGATTCTGTGTCTCCTTCTCTCACTACCCCTCTCCCACTCTGTCTCTCTCTCTCTTTCAAAAATAAATAAATATTAAAAGAAAAATTTTTTAATTTTTTACAAAGTTAACATGCCGTCATGAGGGTGGATCCTAATTCAATACGACTGGCATCCTTAGAAGAAGAAATTAAAGGCACGGAGAGAAGACAGCCAAGGAGAGAGGTCTCAGGAGACATCATCAACCTTGCTGACACCTTCGCCTAGGCTTCTAGCCTCCAGAGGTGTGAGATAATGCATTTCTGTTGTTTAAACTACCAGTCTGTGGCACTTTGTCATGGCCCCCGAAACTAATATGTCATCCAATACGAATGTGACAACCTGTTTCTGGAGCCCCCGCTCTCAGCCCTCAAATGTATCGCACAAAGTAAACATCATCTGGCATCCTGTGAATTCTTTTTTTTTTTTTTAATGTCTTATATTTTAGAGAGAGAGAGAGGTGGGGGGAGAGAGCAGGGGAGGGGCAGAGAAATGGAGACAGAATCCGAAGCAGGCTCCAGGTTCCCAGCTGTCAGCACAGAGCCCGATGTGGGCCTCAAACTCACGAACAGTGAGATCATGACCTGAGCTGAAGTCAGACACTTAATGGACTGAGCCACCCAGGCACCCCCTGAATTCTTTTTGACTTATAGTTATTTTTTTTTTCAACGTTTATTTATTTTTGAGACAGAGAGAGACAGAGCATGAACGGGGGAGGGGCAGAGAGAGAGGGAGACACAGAATCGGAAACCGGCTCCAGGCTCCGAGCCATCAGCCCAGAGCCCGATGCGGGGCTCGAACTCACGGACCGCGAGATCGTGACCTGGCTGAAGTCGGACGCCCAACCGACTGCGCCACCCAGGCGCCCCGACTTATAGTTATTTTTTAAAGTAATCTCTATACCCAATGTGGGGCTCAAACTTACAACCCTGAGATCAAGAGTCACATGCTTTACGGACTGAGCCAGCCAGGTGCCCCCCTGCGAATTCTTTTTTTAAAAAACTACTTTATTGAGATATTATTTACACACAGTAAATACCAGAAATTTTATGTCCTATATGCAGTTCTGTCGCTTTGAAAACATTTTTAAACTTCAAGTGGAGTTGATATATAATATTATATTAGTTTCAGGTGTCTCTTGTGAATTCTTTACCAGGCTGCAATGCTTGTTGGTGCTTTGGGAAGTGGATCTATTTCGGGGCTCTAGCTGCTGAGTTTGGCCTTGGAGTGGGCACGGAGAGAGGGGGTCAAGACCTCCCATGCAAGTTCTTTTGCACCTGGGTTATGAACAGGTGCTCCCCTCAAGAACTCCCTGAGGTAGGTGTTATTATCATCTCCATTTTTGAGAAATCTGATGGTCAGAGAGGGGAAGAAACAGTCAGTGTCATGGCCAGGATTTGGACTCAGATCAGGTGACTTAAGGTTCTGCTCCACACGGGTCATCAGTTTTGTGTCCCAAATTTCCCTGGGTGTGTGTGACCGTCAGTCCTGGTGAATGACTCAGTCTTGCTCCAAGATGTAAGTTTGCAGGATAGCATGGTGTTTCTCAGTTGTCAGTGAGGCGAGGGAGTAGGGAGGTGAGGCAGATGTTTCCTTCTAAGAGGATCTGGGGAGGGGTTGTGGAATTCTAAATTCCTTTCCTGTGTGTCCTCAGCTAGGCATGTGCTAATAATAGCCTCTAGGGGCGCCTGGGTGGCTCAGTCGGTTAAGCATCCGACTTCGGCTCAGGTCACGATCTCGCGGTCCGTGAGTTCGAGCCCCGCGTCGGGCTCTGTGCTGACAGCTCGGAGCCTGGAGCCTGTTTCGGATTCTGTGTCTCCCTCTCTCTCTGACCCTCCCCCGTTCACAATCTGTCTCTCTCTGTCTCAGAAATAAAAATAAACATTAAAAAAAAATTAAAAAAAAAATAGCCTCTATAAGAACTCCCTCACAGTTGTGACCAAGGGATACCTCATGTTCAATCCTAGGGATTGCTTTTGCCCTCGGTGTCCTTAGCTCCAAAATGTTGAGCAACACCCACCCTCAAACACCATGAGGGGAGACAGTCAGATCTGTTCTCTCTAATCCTTTCTGGTGGTTTGTTCCCTGGCCTCTCAGGTGGTTTCCTCGCGCGCAGGCACTGAACGGTGCCCATCCGCTCAGCACAGGGCTGAAATATTGCCTTTCCCCACCCGCCAAACCGGAAAACCTCATGTTTGACAGAGCAATGGGTAGAACAGACAGAAGAGAGGACGGTACTCAGAGAGAAGTGTTGTGGTCCCACCTAGCGATTCCGAAAAGCCAGGCCCGGAAATGATAAAAACAAGTAACAAACAAGTAACACATGTCTGAGTGAAGTTCTGACAGCAACACAACAAAGGCTGGGAGGAGGGAAACCCTAGTATACTTTGTAAGTCTCTTATACGGTATGGGAAATGGTATGCTGTCACTGAAAGGTAGATGGTGTGAATTGCACACTTAAGGGGGAGAGTCCAGTGGACTCTTCAGTATTCACAGGAAACTATAGAACTTGTAAACTGATGCCCATTTCTTTCTCAAAATAAAAATATACTCCCAGTGGGATCCTAGGAACACAGGGAAATTCTATTATTCTTATGAACCAATTAGGATCAAATAGAAGAGAGAAAGTATTGGGGTGGGAGAGCCCATGGCCCCCCTTTTTTTCATCTTGGAAAATTTGAAACTTCTAAACCTTAAAGCAACCACTAAATGACAAAATAAAGAGTAATAGCTAATAAGCCAATAAAGGAGATAAGATAGCGTTATAAAAATACTCAACAACTGAAACAAGACAGAGAAAGAGAAAAAAGAGAACAAAGAACCAACAGGACAAATAGGAAGGTGATAAGACCTACACCTAATCCTATAAAAAGTCACCTTGAAGGTAAAAGGTCTAAATACCCTACGTAAAAATTAGAGATTGTCGGCTTGGATAAAAAGTAAGATCTTGTAGGCTATCTTGCCTACAAGAAATGCACTTTAAATATTAAAGCTGCACATATGTTAAAAGGAAAATGATAGAAAAAGGTAGAGCATATAACACTAATCAAACGGAAGCTGGAGTGGCTATGTTAATATCAGATAAAGTAGATTTCAGAGCAAAGAATATGTCTAGGAATAAAGAATGCCACTTCATAATGGTAAAGGAGCAAATTAATCAAGAAGATAGGGGCACTTAGGTGGATCAGTTGGTTAAGCATCCAATCTTGGCTCAAGTCATGGTTCAGTTTGATTCATGGGATTGGGCCCTGGACTGGGCTCTGCACTGACAGTAGGGGTGGAGGGGGGCTGCCTGCTTGGGGTCCTCTGTCTCCCTCTCTCTCTGTCCCTCCCCTGCTCGTGTGTGCTTGCTCGCTCTCTCTCTCAAAATGAATAAGCTTCAAAAAAATCAAGAAGACATACAAATCCCAAATATTATGTGCACCAGATAACAGAACTTAAAAGTGTATGAAGCAAAACCCAATAGAATGGCAAGGAGAAACAGACAAATCCACAGTTATGCTCTGAGATTTCAATATCCTCCTTTTCATGATTAATAGAACACGTAGGCAGAAAATCAAAAAGAATACAGCACTAACAACTAACAGCCTAACTGATATTTATAGAACACTCTGCCCCCCAAATAGGAGGATATAGTTCTTTTCCAGTGCACGGAGAACTGTTACCAAGAGAGAGCATATTCTGAGTCATAAAATAGTCTCAACAAGTTTAAAAGAATTCAAGCATCTTCTTTGACACAATGGAATTAAATTAGAATCAATAACAGACAGAGGCCTAGGAAACTCCCAGATATTCACAAGCCGAATAACACACTTTCCGATAACACACGAGTTAAAGACAAACAGAAGGGAAATTAGAAAGCAATTTGATCTGAATGAAAATAAAAACACAATATTAGAATTTGTAGGATTCTGCTAAAGCAGAGGGGAATATTTATTGAATTAGATGACTAGATTAGGAAAGAAGGAAGGACTTAAATGAATGACCTTAGTTTCTACCTTAAGAAACAAGGGAAAAAAAGAGCAAATTAAGCCCAAAGGAAGTAGAAGAGAAGAAACCACAAAGACCTGAGTGAAATCAATAAAGTAAAAAACAAAAAACAGTAGAGGAAAAGTCAGCGTGAGTGAAATCTTTGAGAAGATCGTTATAATTGATAAACCTGTAGCCATACTGAAGAGTAAGAGAGAAAGAGAGAGAGAGACTCAAGTTACTAAAATCAAAAACTAGGGAGGTGACAGAAGTACAGAGTTTACAGATATTAAAGGACAATAAGGGGATGCTATGGAAAGGTCATGGCTGCATGTATTTGACAAAGGGACAAATTCCTTGAAAACCACCGACTACCAAGACTACCTCAAGAAGAAATAAATTACCTAAATAGCCCTACTATCTATTGCAAACGTTTAATTTGTATTAAAGACTTTCCCACAAAGAAAACTCCAAGCCCAGATGGTTTTGTTAGTGAATTGTGCCACACATGTAGATACAACACCCAAATCATGATCCATAAGAGAACAAATTAATAAATTAGACTTTATGAAAACTAAGAACTCTTGCTGTTCAAAAGGCACTTGCGAAAGAATGAAACAGCCACAGAGTAGGAGGAAATCTTTGTGAAGTATCTATCTGATAAAAAGTTTGTAACCAGAATATATAAAGAGCTCTCAAAACTCAATAATAAGAAAACCAGTCGAAAAATGGGAGTTGAACAGACACTTTACCAAACAGGATACAGGATGCACGTGAAAAATGTTTAGCACCATTACATATTAGGGACGTGAACATTAAAACCACAATGAGATGTTCCTACGCACCTGTGAGAATGACTAAAATGAGACAGGTTGATCATACCAAGTGTTGGCAAGGATGTAGAGGACAATGTCATCTTCATACACTGCTGATGAAAATGCAAAATGGTACAACCTCCTTGGAAAACAGTATGGCAGTGTCTTAAAAGTTAAACACACACCTATCATATGATACGGTCATATTGTTCTCAAGTATTTTCCCAAGAGCAATGAAAGCGTAAGTCCACACAAAGACTTGTACACGAACGTCTATAGATGCTCTATCTGTGACAGCCGCAAATTGCAAAGCAGAAAATGTCTGCCAACAAGTGAATGGAGAAACAAACTGTACTTTATCCACACAGGGGACAGAAATAAAAAGACATATGTGAGCTATTGATATGTGCAACCACATGAATGAAGCTCAAAATAATTATGCTGAGGAAAAGAAGCCGGAAAAAAAGGGGTACCTACTGCATGATCTTGTATAAAGTTTCAGAAAATGCAAACAAATCTATAGCGATGGAAAGCGGATAAGGGGTTGCCACGGGAGGAGGAGGAATGGAAAGGATGAATCACAAGGAAACTTTTCAAAGTGTTGGATATGTTCATTATATTGATTTTGGTGATGAATTCACAAGAGTGAAGCATATCCAATGCCCCCAAAACTTACCAAAGTGTACATGTTAGATATGTACAATTTGTTGTACGTCCATCAAACCTCAATGAATGAAAGCCCTGTGCCCCTCACCCCTTCCCGCTCTCTGGAAAATGTCCTGGGTACCTTGTCCGTGGAGCTGGGCACCCCTTGGCCACAGCTCTGGGATCCCTTCCCGCCTGTCTTCCACCAGCAGGCCCTATCCTTCACGATCCCTGATGGTGGGTTCTCCTTTGGAGGCCTGGTACAAAACCCCCATTTTTCAAAACCTATTTGATCCTGAGTAGTTTAAATTTTTTTTTTTCAACGTTTATTTATTTTTGAGACAGAGAGAGACAGAGCATGAATGGGGGAGGGGCAGAGAGAGAGGGAGACACAGAATCGGAAACAGGCTCCAGGCTCTGAGCCATCAGCCCAGAGCCTGATGCGGGGCTCGAACTCACGGACCGCGAGATCGTGACCTGGCTGAAGTCGGACGCTTAACCGACTGCGCCACCCAGGCGCCCCGATCCTGAGTAGTTTAGACATATGACCTCCTAGCCTAGTGCCTAACACGTAGTGGGCACTCAGAATTATTTGTGGAGTGAGCAACTAGGAGCTACAGTTCACTTTTTACGATCAGGGAAACCAGCTCAGAGAAGGGAAGTGGTGCCCCAAAGCACGCTGGGGAGCGAAGGAGCAGCCGAGTCTGGTCTCAGATCTGGTTCCCACCAGGGCCTCTCCAGGAGTGACCATCTTGGAGGACCCAAGCAGGGGCTGGGTCTTAGCAGGGGCTGGGGCAGGGGTCCAGATGGACAGGAGGTGAAAGCCGAGTCTCTTGCCTGCTGGGTCAGAGGGTTCTGGGCTCAGAGGCTAAGCTGGACCCAGGAGCCCCAAGACTCAGGAGTTAAGTCGGCCTGATCCTGACTTAACAGTAGACATGGGTAAGAAAATCTTTATGTAAATCTTTACACCGTTCCAGGTACCAACAGGTGTTGTCTTGTCGAATCTTCCAAACAAAAGTCATGAGGTGGGTCCCCACGATTAGCCCCATTTTACCGAGGGGGAAACGGAAGCTCAGAGAGAAGTCAGTGGTGAGGTTTGAGCCCAGTTTTCTCAGGCTGAGCCGGCGCTGGCTCGTGGGTGGTTGATTTGTATGGTCACACAGGGCCCTGTGCTTAGAAGGGCCCCGTGCTTGCGATAATGCTCTGCTGTTGCTGTCTTAAAGTTCTTATCACTTTCTGAAACCGCGTTTACGTTTTGCACGACATAGGCCCCACAGATTATGCCCCTGATCCTGGGCTGTGAGCCTCACCATTTTTGTATTTAATACGCACAGCACCCCGTTAGCAGCCCTGTTCGCTGAAGAGGAGAGTGAAGTGGCCTGTGACACGAGCACGCGGGTATCTGAGCAGAGCCCAGCTTGCAAGACCCCAGAGCCTGGGGGCTTAACTTCACTGCGCTGCCTCCCGAAAAAGTTCTGCTTCTTGGGACACTGGGATCAAGAAAGTTCTCGGCTACCCGCTCCCATTCCCTCTTGGTGGGCTTGAGCCCCTCCAGGCCTGCCAGAGCACCTGGGGCTCCTCTCTGGGACCAGCCAGGGGTGGGTCTTATCATGTCCGGGGTCCCACTCACCCAAGAGGACAAGGGACAGCATCAGCAGCCAGGAGCAAGGAGGCGAGTAGGCCGGCTGGGTCGGGGTGGTCATCGCGAGGGGCGCATGTGCCTCCTGTGGCTCCCAAGACTGGCTGTCGTTCTGCAATCCGGTGGGTGTCTGAGCCTGAAACGGGGCGTTCCTTGGGGCCAAGGCTACTTGGGGAAGTGTTTTCATATGACAAGACGAGGCTGCTGGTGCAAGAGGAAGGAGCTGTTTGGAGGGGTTTCCGGGTTCTGTGTCTGGGCAGCGAGTGTTCCTGTAATCACTCTGTCAAAACCTTCATGCCCCCTTTTGCCACAGGCCCTGTCCTGGGCACCCTGGCAGGAAGATGAGCATGCCTAGTGTGTCCCGAGTCAGCCAGACGTGGGGTCAAGTCCTGGGTCTGCCTCTTCCTGGCTGCGTGACCTTTCACGCACACCTGCCACCTCGGAGCCTTTGTTTCTTCATCTGCAAAATGGGGACGGTAGCAGTCCCCTCCTCAGAAAGGTATTGCAGGGATTACAAGATACGTGGGCGGGGCGCCTGGGTGGCTCAGATCGGTTAAGCGGCCGACTTCGGCTCAGGTCATAATCTCGCGGTCCGTGAGTTCCTCGTCCGCGTCGGGCTCTGTGCTGACAGCTCGAGCCTGGAGCCTAGTTTCTTGCACTTCTGTGTCTCCTCTCTGACCTCCCATTCATGCTCTGTCTTTCTCTGTTCCAAAAAATAAACGTTAAAAAAAAAATTAAAAAAAAAAAGATATCGTAATGGCGCCCAGCACGATGTAAATGCTGAACGTACCAACCATCATTGTTCACGATGTGCAGGAAACAGAGGAGGTGGCGTTTGCTTAGGAAGAAGGATTTGTTATAGCAAGTCTGTGAGGCCTCTTTGCAGTGAGGGGAGGGCACAGATCCCGTTCCTAAACGATAATCAGGGGCAACCTTGAAACCTCCATTTCCTAAATCCAACGTAACACACCCAAGGTCATATAAAACTTGCTTTGTACATCTTAATTTTCTGTAACTTCTTCAGGAGTCCCTATCATATGATCTGTAAAACAGTAATAGGAATAGGGTCGCGGGGCACCTGGGTGGCCCGCTTGGTTGAGCGTCTGACTCTTGATTTCAGCTCAGGTCATGGTCTGCTTATTCAAGGAATCTCATGCCTCGCCGTGATTGGGTCTCCACACTTGAAAGTGCGGGGCCCTGTCTCCCCTCCTTCTCCCCCCCTCCCCCGCTCTGTCCCTCCCCTGCTCACACTCTCTCTCTTTGTCTCAAAATAAATAAATGAACTGAAAAAAAACTATGAGGTGAGGTGAATATTGTACATGTTGCCATCGTCATACTTTAGGCTAACTCAGTTTTGTTTTGTTTTGTTTTTTTTCTAGAAAAAAAAAATAGCTCAAGCTTTCTACCCTTCCCTCCCTCCTGGGTGGTCCTGGGTGCAGAGGAGGCTGAAGTTTCTTTCTGGGCAGGATGGCGGGCCTTGGGTCTGAGTCTTGTCTCGGGGCCTGGTATCTGCCATGGGGAGGTTGGTCTGGCCTAGTCCCTGAGCACTTTGCTCTGGGTCTGCTGAGGTGTGGCTGGTCCTGTCTTCTCAATCCCATTGCTTCTTCTACTTGTTCTCCTGTTGAGGAGACCCATATATTGGAGTCTCTTTGAACTGACCACAGGCCTAGAAAATTCCACCAGACCCTCAGCGCCTCCATATCATCCTCCCAGCAGAGCTTCTAAATCACCTGCTCATCTGCCTGGGCTCCTTTGCAGCTATTCCTTTTCTTCTCAAGGGTTTCTTAGAATTCATTTTATTTGTGTGACTAGGTAAGGTGTTGTAATAGTTAGCTATTGCTGCATAACAAACCACCCCCCAAAATGCAGTGGCTTAAAACAATACCCATTTATTTGACTTGTGATTCTGTGGGTTGACAATTTTATCTGGGCTCAGCTCCATGGTTCTTCTTATCTCAGCTGATTTTGACTCAGCATTTGAGGTCAGCAGCAGGCTGGCTAGGAACTCTTCTCTGCTGGCGTTGGCTGACTGTCGCCTGGACCACCTCAGCTCTCCTCCATGTGGTCTCTCATTCTCCAGGAGGCTAGTCTGGCTTGTTCACACGAGAGGGGCGGCGTTGAGAGGCGGCAGGAGTTGCAAGGTGTAGTGTCGCTTCTTTGGTCCAGCTTTTGGCTGGAGCAAGTCATAGACTGGACCAGATTCAAGGGATGGAAAATAGACTCCACCTCTTGATAGGAGGAGCTGTAAAGTTATATTGCCGAGGGTGTGGATGTGGGGAGGGGGTGAAGAATTGTGGACCTACTGGTAATTTATCGACCACGGCATCCACAGGGTGCGGAATTCACAGGATTCAAAGTCTCCTCTGTAGGGCTCCCAGATACCACTTTCCTGAGGGTTGACCATAGTCACCACTTTTGGACACATTCAATTCCGGCACTGTTGCCTATCTGCTTCTCGGAAGCCAGGTTGGACATGGCCCCTGTGGCCTCCTGGACACCGTGGGAGCCGGGCCATGGTCCTTTCTGCTCTAGGAATCTCTAAACATACCTGAGGCTTCTATATTCCCTTCCCACCCCAGCCCAGAGTTCTGACCCCAGGGACTGGCGGTGCCGGGCCCCTGGCACCTCAACTCCTGCCCTTTTCCCTCTTTCTCTTGTCACCCTCCACTGAAGTCATGAGGGGAGGCAGTCCCCCTGTTTTCTTCTGTAGGGACTTTCCTAACTTCGGCCCTCTTCTGAACTCGTGATCTTCTTTGTTCTAGCTGGATTCACTCCCGCCCCTTCCCTGAGACAACAAGTCTCAAGGTCCAGTTTTGATAAGGGACAGAGCTGCTTGGAAGGGATGAGACTATAGGGACAGAGAAAAATGCGCAAGCAAGTGCTTCAATAATATTAGTCCTGTCCAACTCGCCAACTGCAAGGTCATGACCTGAGCCAAAGTCGGATGCTCAACCGACTGGGCCACCCAGGCGCCCCAGCCATACTGGTGTTTTTGCAGTCAGTCTTCATCTCCATTCCTTTCTCTGTTCTCCTCCTTATCAGAGGACTGGAAGCCTGGGAACCGCATTTTCTAGAACTCCTTGCTTTGGATTGGGTTCTGCCGAGGAGAGGTGCGTGCATTAGAATTGGAAGGTGGAAGAGGAGAGGCATGGCTGGTTTCCTTCTCTAGAAATGGAGAAAGGCAGAGCCGGGGCAGGAGCAGGTGTGAACGTGAAGTTTGCAGAGGTCCTCAGACTCTCCTCCATAAACCACCTGTAATCCACAAGCAGCTGTCATCACTGGTGGTAGTTCCTGTGTGTTTTGCAGATTCCTGATTCTCTAGGAGCTAGCAGTGAACTTGGGCGCTAAGGCAGTGAGGATTTCCAGTGTTCTCTAAGTAAGCACCAAATCCCACAATTACCCGGGGAAGACATCAGGGATGCATGGCTTTTTATGGCCTAACCTTGGAAGTCACCTCGCATCATTTTTGCCATTCTCTTCATTTAGGAGGAAGGATTTGATGTCTCCTTAATAATGAAGGCTCGGGGTGCCTGGGTGGCTCCGTCGGTTAAGCGGCCGACTTCAGCTCAGGTCATGATCTCTCGGTCCGTGAGTTCGAGCCCCGCGTCGGGCTGTGTGCTGACAGCTCAGAGCCTGGAGCCTGTTTCAGATTCTGTGTCTCCCTCTCTCTGACCCTCCCCTGTTCATGCTCTGTCTCTCCCTGTCTCAAAAATAAATAAAATGTTAAAAAAATATATAATGAAGCCTCTGGGGTCCCTGAACCTGACTTTCTGCTATTTGCAACTTGTCCTGTTCTACAGCGTCGTTTGCCTTTCTTGTTTCCTTTTCCTGTTTCACGTCAGATCCCATGACATGCTTGTTGGTGTTGTTTGAAGGTTTTATTGACGTACGACATATGTTGTGCTGTATGCAACTGCACAAATATTGCGCGCGGCTCACTGAATTTTTAGACTTTTTATGTCTATGTGCACCCGTGTAGTCACCACCATGAGACATACAAGGTTCCTTCTTGATCCTTCCCATTCAATCTCTGTGTAAAGCCCTGACAGTTTTGTAGGGGGAGCAAACTGTCTCCTGTCTCTTCTCACAGTGGCACTAATTCCATTCTTGAGGACTCCCTCACTCAGCACCTAGTCACCCCCCAAAGACCCCACCTCCTACCACCATCACACTGGGGAGTAGACTTCAGCATAAGAATCTGGGGGGCGGGGTACACATTCTGTCCGCGGCAACTGGCAAGTGCAGTGGGAGTGTGAGCCACCCAAGCCGACAGCAGGTATGTGTTTTCAGGAAGTCAGGGAAGGTCATCGGAAGGATGTGACCACCCATTGACCCCTGAACTGGACCTGGGCACTGGGAAACTCCATACCTCCTCCTGTCCTTGGAATATGGGTTCCACTTGCCTTTCCCCGCTCCCAGAGGCTGCTCCAAGCGACGAGTTAGTGACGTGGTGTTGAGAACATCTGTATGACACCTGTGTCTAACGCAGCCAAGATCGCTATAAAAACTTTTAAGTGTTGGCAGTGGAATGCGGGGAATCTCTTTGTCCTGCTGCTGCCCAAGACAAGCCTGGTATGTAAGTTCCTTTTGCTCATTAAACCAGCCAGGCTGGGGTGGCCTGCCGGTCTCTTCAGCCTCTCCGAGCCCTCGGTGCATTTGGGGGCCAGTTTCAGATTACACCCAGGGCGTTCCCCAGAGGGTTGTGAACTGACAATTGTTGCTTTTTTTTCTCTTTTGTAATGCAACTGCCCGACTTAGGCTTTGATTGCGAAGGCATCCGTTTCAAAGAGGCATCCACATCTCAAATAAACACAATGCCAGCCCCAGGGCTGGGTAAAGAGCCAGGCCACCTCCCCCCACGGACTCCTTTGTTTTAGAGACTTTGGTCAATTTCCGTAACTGACCCTCAGGTCCTCTTGCCTATTCACTTTCCCCCTTGAAATTCCTGTTTTAATGTTTGTTTTTGAGACAGAGACAGAGCATGAACAGGGGAGGGGCAGAGAGAGAGGGAGACACAGAATCTGAAACAGGCTCCAGGCTCTGAGCTGTCAGCACACAGCCCGACGCGGGGCTCGAACTCACGGACCGTGAGATCATGACCTGAGCCAAAGTCAGATGCTTAACCGACCAAGCCACCCAGGCGCCCTGAAATTCCTGTTTTAAATTCACCAAAAAAGAGTGAGCCCT